AAAAATAAATATTTCAGGTTATTTGAAGTAACCTACTCTCAAAAAACGTATAGAAAACTTTAAAAATACAAGCATTTTTGATTTATTAAAAACCCATTAAATATGAATTTTATATTCATTAATGAACAAATATGTAATAACCCTCGAAATATGAAAAATATGCAATATAAAATTTGGTGTTTAAATTCGGTGCGATATGAATCATGGACATTTTAAACCTCCATAGACGTGCATACACTTAGTACAAACATGCAAATGCGTATAAATGCATATAAACATTATAACTTATAATAATTATTTTATTATTTATCATTCTACAAAATCACCAGAAGTCGTCGTCCAAAACTATTTACGTTATGAATTATAAGAAAATAATCATAACGAATGGGACGTGCAAATAACATTCAACTATTATTATTTATTAGCTAAATATATAAAATAGAAATAAAATTGGAACCGAAGAAACCACAAAAATTATCATCAGACAAATATCGGTATCGGTTCCCGTTTAGGTTCCTATAAAAATCAAAAATCGGTTTCGGAAAGATTCCGGTTCCAATATTTTCAAAATGTTTCGTTTAAAATACCAGTATTTTTAATTTTGGTTCCAAGCCCTGAACCTAAGGCAAATCTAAAAAGTTACCCTAAAAAAATTAATGTTTTTAAATCTTAATATTTCAATAGATTATTCGAAAAATATGATTATTCTAACCCCAAATAGACTAAATAAATGCATTTGCTTTAAATTTTTAAGATTTTTATGAATAACTTAAGTCTTAACTTATATATTTAATACGTACCTATATCAAGAATAATTATAATTTATTTAAAATAAGTTATAAAAATGCAATTAAAAACTACATAATTTAAAATATTATTTCGAAATTAAAAATATAAATGATAAAATATAAAATTTTTAAATTGAACTAAGTGCAAATGTAGAATCCATTGGTATATTTATAATTTATATGTTGAACGCAAAACATAGATTACAGTGTTATATTGATATTTGAGGTACTTTATTGTACTGTGTACTGAAAATGCAATGAAATCATATATTAATAATCAAACACAGTAAATAATTAATATTTTGTCATAAGTTATAAGTATTATTTCCTTATTATAGGCGAAAATATAACAATTAATTGTATTTAAAATGCATTTACATTTATCAAACATTTTACATTCTTCAATAAATCAATACTTAATTATTTTCATCAATTCAGCATGGAATATATGTAATTTAATTATAAGTGATTATAAAGTCAGTTGGAAAATGTGTATGATTCCCGAGTTTAAAATATACCTATTATAAGAACAACTGATGTTTAACTCATAATCGTTGTTTGTTATTAATATCTAAGAAATTAATTGTTGTATTAAGTCTACAACATAAATGAACAAAAACAAATATAACCCATACATTATCTGTCCATTTAAAATTTTATCGAAATATTCTTCAGATTAAAAGCCTATCAAATAATTTTATAAAGAAAAACAATATTTTTTGTGTTTTAAATGAATTATTGTTAGTTATGATAACTAAGTTTTTTCTTCATTTTTATTTTTATGATGTTAATACGACCACTTGAAACTTAATAGTTTAACAACCTATGAAATAAATAAAAAAGTACAAAATACGGCGATATGTATAGGCAATTTAGGTACAATACAGTTTATATTAAAGACTACATTTTTAACAATGCTAATACCGGCGCAAAATTAATATTACGTCAGCAATGTTATTAATTTAATAATTGTACGGAAGTATAAATTTCTCGTATTGTACATATTCATGATTATTTATTGTAGATTATAAGAATACACAAATTGTAAAAAAGTGAAATACTTAACGATCATAAACATGTAATTATAATAATACTATACATTTTCCTAATTTCTGAATTTTAATCATGTTTTTATGTTGATTGTATCAATTTTTTTTAATGTTTAAATCTAGTAATATGACTTCATTAAATATACTTACAGACATTGACAGTTTTTATTATTTTTATAAGCCTTACGTTTGATAAAAGTGTTTAAGTTTATTTTAGTGTTTATTATTGTTTATCATTTATATTATGTGTTGTTTTAGTTAAAATATTGTGTTTGGAGTCTTATTAAATAAAAAAAAAAAAAAAAGAATATCAAATTATTTATTACTATTGTATTTGAGTTACAAATTAACGAGGTAATTCAACAAAACCTATGATGTCACATATGATATCGACATTTTCTCCCAATTTTTTTCATTGTTTCAACACTATTTAATGATGAAAAGCACTCTTTAATATTATTTGGAATAATGTTGTAAGTCAATACCATAAAAATACATTTTATAATATTATTATATTTTTATAATATAGGAGGCAAAACACTATTAGTCACTTAATAAATTTCAGCTGACTTGTTTTACATAGGCATAATCAAATTGAATCACTTTATTTAGCTTATCATAACCATGCATATATTCGCTTATGAATGATTACAATATATTATTTTTCATGATTTCAAATTACACTTATAGTACGATATACTAGATATTTTATAATTATGTTGAGGAATTAATTATTGTTTATTAAATTTATCATAGTCAGATGCTCATATAATCAGTGTTTATCCAATTTTAACATTTTACAAATATTACTAATTTTACTAATACATTTTATAAACGGGAATAACTTTTTATAACTTAAATGTTAAAAAGACAAAATTAAAAACCCATTTTAAAAAGAATTACCTAATAATGATTATATTTATTTCATTATAAAAAAAGTTGATGCTTTATAGATGATACTATAAGTAAATTAATTTTAATATTAAAAATTTTGAAATTATTTTGAACATTGTGTATTTTTTATCATCAAATCAAATAGATAGAACGAATGACACAATAATTTCAATTACATTAGAAATGTTGGTTTTTACGGCCTTTTTAATAGTCCCACAAATTATTAAAACTGAATAGTACTATACACCTTTTGAAAAAAATTATAAAATTATAAAATTACCAATAACTGTCATGACAGAAAGTCGTTAGAAAATAGTTTTGATATCTAACTATTCTTTTTATTTCTTATTATAATTCATTCAAATTGCCTATATAAAACCCCTTTAACGGTCAACATTAATCCTTATGTATAAAAATCTCGTGTCACACGCTGTGTTACCATACTCCTCCAAAACGGCTTAACCGATTTTAATGAAATTTTGTAAATACATTTGGTGGATCTGAAAAGAGATTTTTATCTATTTTTCATACTCCTAAGTGCTATTGCTTAATAAATCGTAGTTTAATTTAATAATTTTTGACCTGGTCAATAACTGCGCAATTTAAAATTAATTATTAAATGATACTATTAAAAAACTATTAAAAACTATTAATTTTATTTTTGGTAATAAATAACGGGCATTGAATAAATATCAAAAAACAAGATCCCGCAACAGGTGCCAAAATAAACAAGAATGTTAGTTCGAAGGATTATTATATATATCGGTTGATGTGATTAGATGCGATCAAGACAACCATTATTCTACGATGCGTGAGCTTATGGTCGATATGTATGTAAAGATAGAGAGCGAACGATGAAGATACTTGTAATTCAATCAAAAAAAAGCAAGATTCTCAAAACAATTGTTAGATATCGGTAATGGGAAAGTTACTACAGATGAAACGGAATGCATACAATTACCAACCAATTTCTGCACAATCATTGATTCGCAAGATGCTCTCATTGACCAGATATTTTTCAATGTACACAGACAATACAAAAATCATGAGTGGCTGGCAGAAAGAGCAATTTTAACAACAAAAAATGTGGACGTCAACGAATTGAATCTCAAAATACAACATTTGTTGCCAGAAGACTTGGTGTTATACAAATCTATTGATACAGTTTGCGATGCTACTGAATCTGTAAATTATCCAACAGATTTTTTAAACTCATTGGATTTACTAGGCATGCCACCACATAATTTACAACTAAAGGTTGGATCTCCGGTTGTTTTGCTTCGTAATTTGAACCCACCATGGTCGTGCAATGGCACGCGATTAGCCATTAAAAAATTAATAAAAAATTTTATCGAAGCCATCATTTTAAATGGCAAATTCCGAGGTGAAAATAAATTATTACCGCGAATCCCTATTATACCCACGATGTGCCAATACAATTTAAACGCCTTCAATTTTCAATTAGATTGGACTATCAATAAGTCTCAAGGCCAAAAGATGTCTGTCTGTGGCTTAATTTTGAGTACATCATATTTTTCATATGGACAATTATACGTGGCGTACTGTATAGTGGACAAACCATCTAGTTTGTTTGTGTTGACGAATAATGGGATAACCAAAAATCTTGTATTTTATAATTATAAATAATTACTATATAAAAATATTCCATTCAATTATTCAGCGATAGTTTAAATTAAACAAGAAAATAACGTCCAGGATATTGAAAAACATTATTTCTTATTGATCACAAATTATAATATTGAATACAACTATATAATATTTACAATTTATTAATTTTTGCATTGTTGAATAAATATCTCAAACATATTGATGAACTTTCTTTTACTAAAATATTTTGAAATTTTATACTTGAAATTTTATGTATTCAAACTAAAGACATTAAAAATATGTTTAGTCGATCCTATTATAGAGATTTAAATGACAACCATAAACGAGTTTTAAATAATAACTCTATCAAAGTGTAATATAAAAATAGTTTTAATATGGAACTACTACAGTTGCATTTGTATAGATTTATATTAATTTTTATACTTTTTTAAACTATTTTCAATCTCCTTTTAAAATAGTGTTCAATATAAGCAATTTAAAATGTATTATTTTTAATAAAATATTTTTATCACCTTTTATAGAATAAAATGTATACGATCACAATGAAAATAGGAGTATATATAGTGACAAAAATATTTATAACACATTAATAATAATGTAATTTAAAAAATATAAAATAGACTTCTCGTTCAATGTATAGAATATGATTGTTTATTTTAGTTGCAAATCTTACAATATATATATTGTATATATATATACATATATATTTAATAACGGTACACATGAGTGACGTGACGTGTAATGAGATATCATTGGACCGCATGAAGAAAAAAATATTATATCTTATTGTCATTAATAAAAAAAAACAATGATAAGTATAAAAAAATGTATACATAAATATATATATGTAAATGTAAATATTAATAATATTTATGATAATCGGTAGAAAATTAATCTTACGGTATAGTCGACGTAAATAATTCGACATGCGTGGGAGGAGAGCAAATACATAATCGGCTATGCATCGACTCGCGTACATGTCGCGACGTATACGTGTATAGTAAATGGCAAGCGTACCGCCGGTAGTAATTGTATGAATAAAAATTTAAAAAAAAAAAGTTAAACATACTAATAATAATAATAATAATAATAATAAAATAATAATAAAAAAAAAATAATAAAAAAAATATAAAAGTTCTTATACACGAGCATTGTTTGTAGTACACGACTACAATTATATATAATATGTACTATGGGATATAAAGGATTTAATACCTAACGTTGTTGCTACCGCCACGTGTTAAAATAATTTGATTATAATAACCGGTACGGACGGCGAGAGACGACAACGCACAAATATACAAAAAAAAAAAATAATAATAATAATAATAATAGAACGGGGATGTGATGAGTCTCTGATTTTTAGTTTTTATTCTTACACTAAAACAGTAAGCGACGGCGGTTTCGTCGATTCGTCACCATCGTCCGCATTGTTGTTGTTACTGTTACTGTTAATGTTGTTGTTAATGTTGTTGACGGGTGTTATTGAATGCATAAGCGTTTCCGCGTAACGTTGTTGCTGTTGGTTGTGCAAATATTGTTGTTGATGCGGTGCCACGTGATGATTGAGGATATCGCCCCGGCTACGATGGTTGTACTGTTGCGGTACTGCGATTTGCTGCTGTTGGTGTACAACCTGTTGGGACGCGATTTGCTGCTGATAGTGGATGGGCTGTTGCTGCTGCTGCTGCTGCTGCTGATGTTGCTGCTGCTGCTGCTGCTGATGTTGCTGCTGCTGTTGCTGCTGCTGCTGCTGCTGATACTGCTGCTGTAGCTGCCGTCGCTGCTGTTGATCGTTGTCCACATTCAGTGTCTTCTTGCACAACAACAACGGTTGAGGTGCCGCCACATTGGTCGGCCGTTGTTGCTGTCGCGGCAATGCCACGGCCACCGATCTGACGGCGGCCACAGGTGCCACAGAAACGTTTGCCTTGTCCCCTGCCACGGCAATGTTTGCCTTGTCCCTTGCAGCGGCCTTGTCGTCGTCCAGGTCGTTGCCGTCGCCACCGGTGTCGTTCACGTGGAGCTTCCGTTGCTGTTGCGGGGATGATCCGTCGTCGACCACCGTGGCGTTGCATAACGGGTGGACGATGCTGACGCGCGAACAGCTCAACGACGACCCGGCCGACAGATTGTTCCGTCCGCAGCCACCACCGTAATCACCTCCGGCCGCCGGCATGCTGTTCCTATTGCCGCCGGTCACCAGCCGTTTCAGGTTCTCCTCGTTCTGGCGACGGACCAGCGACAGCATCAGACCGTCGCCGCCGGCTGTCGACGAATCAGCGGCTGCCGATGCGGCATCCCGCGCCACTTGTTCGTCGCCGATCTTCCTTCGGGCGCCACCTCGGAAACGCAGCAACAGGAACGCCGCGACCGCCAGGACGGTGGCCAACGCGCCGCAAGCCACGCCACCCGTCCAATAGTAGTAGTACTGCCGGTAATCTGAAACCCGGAAATCATTATTGTACACGATAGGTGATGAAAACAATGTGGACGCGACGGTAGAACACTTACCGTCGTTCGAGGAGGAACCCGCCGAACCAGCCGGCACGGTGGTCAATGGGGATTCCGCGGACGTGCCGCTGCCGATCGTCACGTCCAGCACGGCGGCCGTCAAGAACGCCAGCGCCGCCGCGTCGTCGTAGCTGTCCCCGCCGGCGTTGGAGGAGGCTCCACGCAGGCGGTGACCGGACGCCGCGGACCCCGCGGACGCGCCGCCGTTGAGCTGTTTGTACAACGTTTGCACGGCACGGCCGACGACCGACGCTGCGTCGTCACCGTCGTCCGTCGCGACCGTGGTCGTCGTCACTCGTCGCTGGTGCGGTTGCTTGTCTGCGACGACGGCCTGAAACGAGACGATTGTAATTACCAGCCACTTCAAAAACGTGCGCCGCCCAGTTTTCATACGTACCACGGACACTCGGATGGTGACGCGGCGTCTACGGCGGCCGCGGCTGTTGTTCGCGATACCGCTGCTGCGGTCGTTTTCGTCCCGGTCCTCGCCCGTAGCCGCTTCGCACATGACGTACATGCGGTTCTTCCGGTCCTCTTCTTCCTCCAAGCTCGGGTCCTGGTCGCCGTCGCGCGCCCAAGCTCGAGCCAACAGGCGCCGCAGGCTGTGGCACACGGCCGACACTCGGGTACCGCCCCTCAGACGTCCCGGGTCCAACGTGACGCGCAGCCGACCGCAAGCGTCGCCTCGACGACGGCGGTGCTTCTGGTGCGACGGGTGCTTGTCGTTGGGCAAACAGTGTCGAACCGCAGAAGGCCAGACCGTCGTCGACGTACCGTCCTCGTCCGCCACCGCGGTCACGCATTGACCGCGGGTGCGGTGCTTCACGGCGACGTACGCGCTGTCGTCGTCGTCGTCGTCGTCGTCGTTGTCGTCGTCCACTTCGTCGTCGTCATCATCGTATCCGTACCGGAGACGAACGTCGACACCGCTGCCGGTACCGCCGCACGGCGGTCGCAAGCACTGTCGCCACAGAAGCAACGAATTGACGGCGGGAGTGGTGCCGCCGCTGGCGTATTCTCGCTTGTCTAAATCCCCGTCTAGTAGCTCCTCGTCGTCAATGTCGTTCGCAATCGGCACACACACCTATGTACAGACGCCCAAAAACGACATCGATTATTGCACGTGATACCATACGCAGCGTGAAACCGCGGTACACACGTCATCGAATGTAAACGCATGCACGTTTATAATAAAAATAATAACCGTTCGGAACACGTTACCTGATTGGTGCCGGTGCAGGTCGCGTCGCTCAAACAGTCATAGGCCGTGGGCCCGCACCACAGGTTCGTGCACGACATCGCCGACGTGGCCGCGGCCGCCTTATCGTCGACGTCGCTTGTAGCCGATTTAGAACACCTGCATTCGTTACAACCGTCATCGGCGAGCCAGTGTTTGCGACGGTGACGGCCGCTGCACAAGCCGCCGTTTACGACCGGCTGTTCTTCCACCGCTACTGTCGGCCCTGCAACATATAATACGATCGTATAAATAATCGGTGCGTAACGGCAGATGCACGTAAGAGAACCGTTGGTCATCTTCGACTTGTGTATTAAAGGGGTATCGAAAAGACGAAGGGTCGACGCGAGAAGCATTAATAATAGTTATACATACTGAAAAGTATATTTTAAGCGAAGATTGAATAGGAGAAAATTGTACGCATGAGCGTATTATATTTGTAAGGGTTTTTGCCCGATTTATTAATGTATGACCTATGAATATGCATAATGCAGAAAAATACAGTTTAGGCTGTACAAATCAAATGTACTAATTAAATAATCAACCGATTCAACTGCGACCAGATCGATTTATTAATCAAGGTAAGCGTGATAGGCTCACAGCATTTGCGGAAGACATCAAATAATGTCGTTATCGGTGTATTTAACGAACAGTATGTTGGGGCGTTCGGGACACGAAAGGAAACAGTTGACCGACGCTGTTGTACGCAATAAAACATAAAAGTAAGACGAGATGATAATCTATTTTTTTATTAGAGGATCAATGTTAAGGAACCTAATACTTGTAGTACGTCTATGCCGTTCATTCGAAATGTGTACAATCTTATAATGATATGCTTTACACTAATATTACAAAAGCGATACTGCAAGTTACGGTACACACCGGTCGGTGGCGACCGTGATGCACGTTCGTCCATCGATTTCTTTTTTTTTTTTTGTTACAAAAAGTCAAATCGAGGCACGCATACATTATAATAAATAAATAAAATATAATCGTATGTGTATATTAATAATACTTGTGACGACGGTACGGCTACGTATAACCCGACGCGAGCGCGCGCGCGCCCGTGTAAGCCATGACGGCACGTTCAGTCAGCGGGGCGCCTCGGCCGCCGCCTCGCGGCGAAGCTTACACGCCGCCGCCGCCGATTGTTTTTCAGGTATCGCGCGGACCGGAGCCCTATTGCACGACGGACGACGACGTTTTCCCATTAGACCCCCGCCGGCCGCTGTAACGACGGCCGCGCAGCAGCACGCCGTCGATGAGAAACCACCGCGGTCGAAGTTTACGACGGCCACCGCCACCGAGTGCGCGTGCGCGCGTGTTCACGCACACACGTTCGTTTTCACAAACGGATCGGCCGCGGCGGTCATTATTATCATAACGACGTGCGGTGTTATTTGCCGGGTAGGCGATGTGGTGGCGGCCAGGGGGCGCGGGTTATTACTCGTCCGCGCCGCCGTTATATTTGTAGTTTATTTTTTTTTCTCGAGTAAGCGGTGGTTTCGAATTTACATTATTCAAATATACATCACCACCGCCGCCGCGCGGCCAGAAACGGACGGACCACGATGACGTCCATCGGCCGTGCGCGACTGACGGACACATCGCCTCCGCCACCGTCGCACCACGTACGCGTATACACGCGCGTCGTATACAGAGCGCGGCGGGCTCAGCGTGAAACCGTTTACCCGTTGCGGACACCATCCGGCCGTGGCGTGCGAGTGCGCATAACGAGATTTCGTTTACGCTGCCCGTTTTTCAAGTATATGTAATAAATTACGTAAAAAATCGATACGCACCGCGAACGTATTATTATTATTATTATTATTATTATTATTATCATAACGCACATAGCAATGATGACGAAGGGAAAACTGTGTACGTAAATTAGAAATGTTAACACAAACGGCGAGGCAGTGTTTCACGTCATCGACATTGGTTGCGTGGGTCTCGACTGGACCATGAGAAAGACCTATATCGAACAATCATCTCCTTCACCCCTCGTACGCGTGCACATTATAATAAGTAACCGCACTCACCTTTATTGTTGTTTTCGTCATCTCCGTCATCGTGTTGTTGCTCCAGCTGTCTCCATACGGTCGTCCCCTGACCCGTGGTACTGGGTCGCCGTGTAGCGACCACGGGCATTACAGTCGAAGTACGCGGTGATGGAGGTTGAGGTGATGTCCTCGTTGATGGTGTCCGAATGCTAGCTGTGGTCGGTGTGTTCGTGGTACTAATTATCGTCGTCGTCACTGTCGTAGGCGTCGTCTTCGAGGCTCCAGTGACTCCGGCCTCACTAGGCTCCGTACAGTTTTTGCCATGCCAAGCCCAGCCATCGCCGCTGCACTGACAGTAATAGTCATCCGGCGTGTTAAGACACTGGCCGCCGTTCCGACAAGGATTCGGCGTACAATGATCTCTGTCGATCTGTCGAGAAAATCATGATTAATAATAACAATCAATAATAATAATAATAATCAACTGTATCGAGAATATTTTATTTATGAATAATGTCTTTTTTTAAAAAAAAAAAATCTCAATTGCATATTAATGTTTTTCATTGTAATTTACATAAGACATAATAAATTCAACTCTTAAAACTTCACAGTTTAACTTCGTAGAATGATAAACAAATTATTTTATCATGTAGACAGGGAGTGATGAGGTTATATAATTATATAAAATATGGTTCTTGAAAACATAAGACCACTTTATTATTTTTGTATAAAGAAAAGTAAAATGAACATAATCGAAAATACTGGTCAGATCTGTCCTAATACTGACTGGATATCATATTGATTTAGTAGTTAAAATAATTTAAAATTAAAATTAAAAACTTAATTCCTGCATCTAAAATATCTAATATTTTATTTTTAAATTATTACATGTACGTAATGCATAGCTAATACAACTTACACCAACTGCATTTATAAGTATACTTATTTTATACATATTTATCATTTGGCCTGTCCTAATAAGTCTAGTTTTTCCTATAAATATGAATGTGTAAAACAAATTATAATGATTCTTCATAAATTCATACAATAATAAGATATAACATAAAATTATTAAAAAAGAAGTACAGTATATGAAGTATATGAGGCACATTTTTAGTCATTAACTTCATGTCATAAATGATTTTTACTTTGATTTAGAGTCCATTCATATGCTATTTTAGCATAGGATTACTTACCTCACAATTTTCACCCGTGTAACCCCACTGACATATGCATGAATACGTCTGCTGCTGTTGCTGTTGTTTTGTTGATGATCCACTTCCGCCACTGCGCCATCGTGGTCGAGCCGGAACGCATTCACCACCGTTTTTACATGGATTAGTGCTACCATTAGCACCAGATTCACCATCGCTACCACAAGGATCAATTTGCGTTCTACAACTTTTGCCTGCGATCGGATAAATGACAAACAAAAAAAATATCAGTAAAGTATTCCTTATACATTTTGTAATAATCCTAAGGCGAATCTCCCAATTTCTCAAAGCTATTAATTTATAATTTTTTTCTATCAATCCGTTATTCGATATATTGGATGTACTCATTGTCATTTATATTTTGAAGCCATTGAGCTTATGATAATATTTATTTTTAACAAATTTATTTTGTAATGATAAAAAAATAACTATAATATTTTTAACAATTGCTATTTATGGTACCAAAGAAAAATTTACAATACACATAAATAGTTTTAGGAAGATTTTCAAAAAATAATTCGAAAAGGCTCAATGTCTTTTCTAGTTACGTCCATATCAATAAAAAATTATACGGTAACTATGTACCCGTATGGTATAAGATCAGTGATTGAACAGTGATCATAATATACTAACCGGTATATCCTACGGGACACAAACATGTGTATCCTCCGATCAAGTCCAAACAAGTACCTCCATTGGCACATTTCACATCCGGTCCGGCACAATCGTCCACATTGACAGTGCATCCGACAGTGGATGCCACCAACGTGCTATTATTGCTCTCCTTTGCAACCGTCGTCCATCCCCGTCGGCACACGCACTCAATCGATCCAACGGAATTACCGCCAGCCCCGGTCGTTCTACATGGCACGGCGTTCTGACCACACTGGTGCTCCGTCACGACCGATTGTCGTTCCCTGTGTTGCCGTTCGCATTCGTCTACATCTATCGGAATAGCACGAAACAAAAAACAACAAATTAAAATACAAAACAGAGAAAGTGGTAAGAGGAGAGTGTTAAAACAGTGAAGAGGATGACGTACCTATTTCGCATCGGCGACCTCGCCAACGGTCGTCCGGACACGCACACCGCCAATTGGCTACCAGGTCTACGCAAGATCCTCCGTTTAGACATCGTGGTGGTTGTATAGCACATTCGTCAATTTCTGTATGAATCACAAAAGCATCACGTTCATTTGTACGCGTTGTATACAAGTACGAAAAGAGATTATATATATATATATATTATTATATTATATATATATATATTTTTTTTAATTCCTAGTCGTAACCAACTCTTCAGACCAAGGACTTTACCTCCCCCCCTTTTTTTAACGTTTTAATAAATCTGCTGTGGCATTCAACTCCACAGCCAACTCGGTATCTGGATCGTAATGCAGTTGCACACCACTTCTCTACTTCAATCTCCCGGCACACTCACCATCCAGAGCCAGAATAAAACAAAACGTCAAAAAGGTTTTTTTTTCCGGTCATCTTCGTCATCGTAATTATAACGCGACGTCGGTGACATACCGAAATGTCATCCCGGTCGTATCCGTGCGTGGATTTATACCGTGGGCGCGCGCGTACACATCGTCACTGCCACCGCCGTAATGACTTTGCGGATAAAACGACGGCGGCGGTACTCTTGGCCCCGTGTTTACCATAATAACAATAAACGACAACTCGGAACGACACACACACGCAACAAACAAACAACAACAAATCGTCATCGTCAACGACGTTCTTTCTCTTTATGCACTCGCGCGCGCGCGCGCGTGTAATAATTTTGGAATCGGAATTTTGAATAATAATAACACGCGTGATTTAAATAATAATTCGTCATCGTCGTGCGGTGGCGGCGCGAACCCCCTCACCGCCCACCAGGCTCATCATATAGCTGCAAGTGCACATACATAACGAGAAAGACGCGATGAAAATCGTTGACGAGTACACACTCGAAGGTAACCCTCTCTCTCACCACACCCGTGGGCCAGCAGGTCCCTCGTTAAAGTCACTCGACAGCGACGAACGTTTTCGGGTGATATTCGCATATGTATGCGGCCGTCGTGATTCTAAAGGACGCCATACACTTGACACTGATATGATTTCCTTTAACAACGCATTGCATTCGTAGAATTCAACCTCTAAGTTCGTATTAATTAAAGTTAGCCGGCCAGGGTAATCAAATGTAAATTTAAGTATGAGAACTTTTATCTAGAATCCGTCGTCGTGTTTTGGATTTTTTTTTTTATTCTAGAGCGAGGTATATATACCTACATAAGTATTATTTTTGTTTTTAATTGCTTATTTTAAATATTTATAACTCGCTTTATTCGATTAAGATATCGAAAGACGGGTGAATGATAGCATCTCAGATAAAGTTTAGTGTTCTCATCATTAAATTGGATAATAGGTCAGCTAACATAAATAACATGTTCACCTGTAACGTATACAGTTTTATTTTTATGTTGCATACACGACGAACACAGAAAACAAATCAGTGTATTCCTGCTTTTATAATAGTTGTTGTTACATATATACATAAACGTAGTATAATACAGATGAAAGAACAAATAAAACTCTCCCATTATATTATATCTTTTATCTTATAATAAAGTTACTTCGTTTTTGTTTATATTATGGTTAAATAAATTGTAACTATACACTGTTGATCAAATTTAAAACGTTTCATACCACGATGAATATATGTGCGCGACTTATGAATAATTTAAATATGATTTTTGTTTTATTCTCAATCTCCATACTTATTACTGATTTACATTTATATATGAAACTAACTGCATACTTTAATTTCTTTATTTCGTCGTTCAAAAAATAAAAATTAATTTACAAGTAGTAACCTGATTTCAAGAAATTGCGTGAAACATAAGTATTAATTTGAATAAAATGTGTATTAAACGATGTAAAATGAAATGCGAATGGAAACGTATCAACTTTATAATTTTATTGATATCCGGAACCAAAACAGATCATACTTGTTTAAATCAAATCCAATGTTTATGTATATTTATTTATTTGCATATTTATGCGATCCATTTATTAGTCGAATTTTTTACATCAAGTTGATGTAATTAATACAAACGTTGAAATTCTAAAAGTCGGACAGTATAATTTAAATCCGTCAAAATTCTAAAACATTATTATAATATTTAAATTATTTTTATTTCAACGATTATTTCAAATAAAATTAAAACACCATACGGATGACTGCGTGTATGTATATATACTATATGCGTGTGTGTGTGTGTGCATACCTGAGTTACAAGTGCTACCCGTCCAGCCAGGGCGACAATCACAATGAAACTGCTTGGGCACCAAAAGCGGTGGCGGTTGGACGGCGGAACCTAGTGCTGGCGCACCGTTGGCGGTGGATCCGGCACCACCGCCGTTGACACCACCGCCGGCCACGTTGACGGCGTCAACGGTTCTACATGTTCCGCCGTTGAAACACGGTTCAGTCGCACACGGGTTCAGCACCACGTCACAGTTAGCGCCGCCAAATCCTTCGGGGCACGTGCACGTGTACTGGTCCGGAGCCGTGCTTTTGCACGTCCCTCCGTTCAGGCACGGTTCATGAGTGCCACAGTAGTTCAAATCTGTGGACGAAAAAAATATAAAAAATAAGAAATAAAAACCAATTTAATTACAACATTGCGTTCGCGTGAACGTCAACGGCGGCGGCTGGAGAGCGTATCGAGATTTTCTTTTTCCGATTCGGTTTCGCTCCTTGCGTGCGTTTACCCGGACCTCGGCGACCGTGTAATATAGCGGTATGCGGCAACGGCGGTGGTAAGGGTGTTGCCCGGCACGACGACGATAAGTAATAGAGGGACGGCGAGGCGTATAATCGGTAGGTAGGCAGGTTCAGATGGGTAGTTACACGGCGGTGCTTGTGGCGGGCGGGTGTACAATAATGTTATATTATACACTGGCCGCGGTATTTTTCGGTGCAGCGTGTGTATACACACACACATATATATATATATATATAACGACGACGACGACGACGATTGAGATTATTGTAATTACAACGATCGGTGGGTGCGTGCAGGTAGTTTTTGTTGTTGTTGTTGTTGTTGTTGTTGCTGTTGTTGTGCTCGTGGTCGCGGGGAGGGGCAGGTGCGCATGTATTATACGTACAGTACACACACACACACATATATATATATATATATATGTATAGTTGCAGGTCAGTTTATAAGCCGCCCGTGTGATCAGTTCGACGACGATAGCAGCGCGTATAATATATACGCGGGCGCTCGCGCGCGCGTTCGCTCGCCGCCGCCGCTGCTTCGTGGTTTAGAAAACTCGTTTTCATCGGGTGCCGCGGCGGCGTGCGACTCCGCGCCCCGCCGTTGTTGCACAACGCGACGGCGGCGGCGGAATCGTGATCCGACCGTCCCAGAATACTATTACGCGCGCGCGCGCGCGTGATTATTACCCCGCGCGGCGACGCGAGCAAATACGCCGACGTGCGAACGTAGTAGGTACGTGTACGCGGCGTGTAACCGTGTACGTACCTCTCCTACAAGTGCAAATGTGTACGGGGTATGCGAGTAGTACGCGCGTGTGCAAATGCTTACGTGCGTGAGCGTGTACGAAGTAGGTGGACCCGTGCGCCGGTCGAAAAACATAGCCGTCGTGCGCGTTAATGCAGCGCTCGCGGTCGTAACCGTTATATTATTATTATTATTATGTTACACACTGCCGTTTTGATTAATACGCGGCGGCGGCGGCGGCCGGAATAATTCTGCACGCGCGCCGCGTACAAACGGAGTAGAATATATACAACGTAACTCGCGGGAACGCGCCGACGTGAAATGCGTCGTGCACCACCGCCGCGCGATAATTAACGCCGGCGTTGGCGCGACGTGGCCGCGGTGTTTCGCCGAGTGGTCCGCGGCGCTGTGGTCCGCAAAAACGTAGCAGTGACTTTCGGCGGGACGACCGGAACGAGATTACTACCACACTTATACACGACTGTATCCGATTCGATAACCGACCGTTTTTTGTTTGTAACGGAAACGGGAAAACATAACGCTACGATAATAAATTATCGCGTCTGTGGCCTCGGAGAACGAGAACACCGAACGATACGGCTGTGTTCGAACACATCGTGTTGTTAATCAATGAAAACTTTGTTGCGATCATTATTTTAATTCGTTAGAAAACTTGGTCGGTCCCAAGTAGTTATGTCGGTAACAGTTCGACGTATTGAATTGCTTTAAAGTAAAATATGCACTTAGCCATTTAGATTCACTTAAGTAACTCGTACAAATATAGATATATGATTGGTAGCCACATCATCGCGCGTGTTTTATACGGACGACGACATTATTATTACAGTATAATAAATTACTATGTGTACTATGTGCCAGTGGAGTGGGTCCGGAACCTGATGCATTGAAAGTGGTTCTTCCGATAACGGCATTAAAACTCCTGTGTCGTAATTAAAAACGACTAAGTAATATTAATGATTGTATCTAAATGGGAATCAGGTGAAATACTAGGGGAGGGCGAACAATTTTTTTTCATTCGCGTCCTTTTAAAATATTTGAATACACGAAAATGTGTTTTAATCATACAACATTCTGTGGAAGATTCCGAAAACTCGTTTACATTAAATCATTTTCAATCAGAGAGTTCACTGAAACGTTTTTAAGATATTTAAATATTAAATCGTTCACGGAAAAATTATTTTTCGACTTTGTGTTGTATAGACTCAATTCATTCGAACCTCTCCCTATTTTCTAGATCTATTCGCTATGTCTACGAACTCCAATAGTCAAGCCGAAGAGTGTATACTCCACCAACGTAAGCAAATCAAACAACAATTATTGTTGTCAAGTCTTCATACAATTCAATGATTGCGGTAAAATGTACATGTAGTATGTATTTAATTTCGTGCCAAAGTGAACGGGATGCGCCTAAGGTAACTTTCACACGGAATACATTTCGTACATATAAATGCCAGTACACATGTACAGCGATATAGGGACAACTACAAAAGTAATATTATAGCGTGACTTATTGCGATAAAAATGTATAATACATATATTTTGTACATTTCTGGAGGCTTCTTTACGTATACATGTATGGTTTCTATTGAAAAAAATTGTGTGAAAATTCCGTTATTGGTCGAAGGCAGTTTTTATCCGCGAAAACCGTCTCAATATTAATCTCAGTTTCAGTGTCAGTCTTAATATTGTTACACCGCAGCAAGCAGTGCACAAGACGATTACGTCATACAAACATTAAGTTGTAAATGTATATATATAAGAAAGAATAGAGCGGTGTGAAACGTATGCAGCAGTTGTCGAATATATTATAATAGCTGTTGTAATATATTAACGGTGGCGGCATTATGCGACAACACGACCGATTGATCGATGATCGCAAATTACGCGACCACTGATAATAATAATAATAATAATAATAATAATAATAATTTTAATGACCGTGTGGTCGTCGACTAAACAACCGTCTCACTCGCCCCTCCGCGTGAAGTTACCAAAGCGACAATAAATAAAACTTCCTGGTATAATTAAGCACATTATACTATATTGTGTTGTAATAAGTCAATCGTGCGGTCCCGCAAAATGTGCACAAAAAATATAATATTTATATACTGTTACGATGAACTACACGTCGTTAATGATTGCCTCGAATAACGTAAATCGAATAAAAAAAAAAATAAATAAAAAAATTTAAATAAAAAAAAAGACATTATATATATATATATATACATATGTTATGTGCGTGTGATGTTTCTACACAATAACGAGTGCGACGGTGATCGTCGCCATCGTCACCGATACGAAGGGTGTGTTGAATAATTGTTGAAAAAAAAAATAATAATAATAATAAAAAACAACTATTGAATATCGTTCGCGCACACTTGATGTTTCGAAGCAGCGATTGTACTACGGCCCCACCGATAGAAGAAAAAAAACCTATAAAAAACAGAACGCGCGTAACAAAAAACGACTACGATAACAATCGTCGCGCGGAACGGGATAATTTTTATGAGTTCACCGCGGCGCGTCCCTCCCTCCCTTCGTCCTGCAGCCGTTTTTATTATTATTTTTTATTTTTGTCGAACTGGGCAACCGATTGAAAATCGCCGATTGCTGCCGCCGCGGTGGGTGATTCGATACGCACCACCAATCATTGAAAAAACGCCGTACTCGTTGCCAGCGTTTAGATCGGTGAACGGACCCTATCCGTGTAATAGTCATATAATCACCGTGAGTCGAGACGGATGAAAATGAATTTGAAAAACAAGGTGATTTGAATGTATATATATTATACATAAGCGGACACTAACACTTGAAAATATGTTGGCAAAAATGCACTTAAAATATGTAGCTCAACAGATCCGATGCGATAAAAAAAAAAAACCATAGGTATACAAAACGATACGCTACAAGAATCTTAAACATGCAAAAAATTGAATCATAGACTGTCTATTCGTTCAACTAAATGTACAAGACAAAAATAATCCAAATACCATTGAAATTGCATCTATAACGATTGATTGTTCAGCGTGATTGCGTTGATAACTTATATGGTCATATATTTTTAAGCATAATTTCATTTATTATAAACAAATATGCATTCTACATAGGTAATGAAAATATTTATAAAAAATGTACATACTTATTTGAAAGATGACATTTGTGAATAACAACCATTTTTTCCATAGATCTTTTTTACGTTGAATAACTTGGTGTGGGACCGAGTATATTTATCTTAATAAGACATCATTTAAAATCTTTTTTATTCTCGTCGAAGAAATATAATGTCGAAGTAAAAGTAATGTGAGTTTTTCTTTTTTTTAAATCGCAAACAAACGAAGGGATTTTATCAAAAGAATGTGCACTGAATTATAACGTATCATGACATTTATAGATAATTTTTTGAAGTATTAGAATAAGATATTTAAATCGAAGTATACCCATACCTATATTTAGTCTGGCGCCACTAAATTTATTTTATACAATTATATCTAAAATAATATAAACATATACTATAATGTTATTCGAAGTAATTGAACCCTAAAAGATTAGCGTCAGATGGCGCCGTTGACTGAAATCTACACATACGCTTTACACAGGGTACCCCTTGTAAGGTAGGGTTAGGTAGAGAACTTTTTGTATGCCAACATTTCTGAACTGATTGAATTGTAAATTCTTATTATGTGAATGAATACTGTCAAATAAGAAATACCATACCTAGGACAACAAAACGTCAAAATAATGTCGTTTGATAAATGAAAAGAAACAAAACTACTATACATGAAAAACTATTTTTGCTTTCTTTAACGGTTGAACGCATTTTAATAAAAATAATAAAATTACTTGAGTTTCGAAAAGAAAAAATATAATTAAATGAATATAATAGTAAAAATTTGTTCATAATTACATTGGCACTACTCATATAAATAAAATGTTATAATATATAAATAAATATAAGAATAGTTTATACATAGAAATAAATAAATAAATGATTTGCTTGGAGTATTATTATATTTGTAAAGGATGACAGGTTTCGAATTGAAAATACATTATCAGGTATATACAAAGTTAATAAAATCGCGAAAAATGAAAAACTTGTTATAAAAAAAATATTTTGAGTATTTAATTTTTCTAAGTCTGTATTTATATCAATATTTCTATTATGGTTATTTTTTTTAAAACGTGTTAAGCAAAATTTAAATTAGGAGCAGTAATAAAATATGTAACATTTATATAACATTTACAGTATTATATGTAAATATTTATATTCTTGTTATAAGAGTTTTGAAACCAATTTTGGAGAACAAATTACATTTTAATGATATTAATCTATGGCTTTTATGAATATAAAATAAAAAAACTCACCTTGATCACACAAGATGCCACCCCAGTTTACATCACATATGCACTGCCAAGAAGTACCGTTGCAGTATCCGTGCTTACATCCAGGATACGTCATGCACTGATCGCACAGCTCGCCCTGCCATCCTTTGCGGCACCTTAATTTTAAAAACAATAATCGTGTTAATGTATGAACTCAACCATAAATTTAACACAGCTACAATCTGGTAAATACTAAATACAATGGCGATGACACGATCGTAATCACCTCCTGTCGACTAGCAGAAGAATCGATTAACGTGTGTTCGTCTATCCAAAATTAGACACTATAGCCTATAACTAGTAAGAAAATTAAAATACCGATAGTACCTACATAGGTTTTGGTGCGAGATATAATATTCAATGGGTGGTCTACAGAGGTGGGAAGTAATAAATTTGAAAGCAAAGCTTAATCATCGTACTCAAAAACGACTGTAAGTGAAGCTCGTTGAATCACTGTACTGTAATCATGTACGGTATTATATACTATACTACGTATTTTAATATAATTTAATATTATATAAATGTAAATAGTTCATAACAAATTATAAAATCTTCATTACTTTTAAATTACTAAAAACCATTCATGTTTATTTTTATTTTATTTTATTTTATGATTTAACGGGCAATGCCCTTTTTACAAGATTTAATAACTGTTGTATTAACATGTGTGTAAAAGAGATATTTCATAAGCTACTACCAAATAACATTTTTAATAACCAAAAATATTTATTGTTTCAAAATGAAATAATAAAAATAGGATTAAGTTGTTTTGATAAAAATTTAATGAGTAATTGTTTTAAACTATTGATCAAAATGAAATTGAATCATACAATTAATTTATTGGTTTCATTTTTGTTTTGATTAACCTTTCAATAAAACTAGGTGAAAACGAATAATTATTTAAAAATATCTTAAAATTATTACACCCTTCAATTTTTAATATTTTAATGACCAAAACTTAATAACTATAATGTTTTATATTATTGTTTACTTGAATACACTGTGAAAATGTCCGGGGATTCAGACGATTAACGAATAATCAGTTATTCACATTATGTAACTATGTTTAAACTTTTGAATACATGTGTGTATACCCATAATTTGATCATGTTTTCTGGATTATTTTTACTTTATTTATTTGATAACGTTATAATAATACTGCGACTTTATTTATTTTTAATGACATTTATTGTTTAGTTTTTTTTTTTTTAGAAACCTTAATAGTTTTTTAGTGTTACTATTATGGTATTATTGTGTTTCTTTTAAACTGATAATAAAGATGCTTATTCACAATAAACTAGTAGTATTGATATAAGACATAAAGTAAAAGTAAAGAAAAAAGTACAACAGTTCTATATTTTTCTCAGTTACTGATAAGTATACAAAACTGGAGAAATGCAACTAAAGACAAGACGAGTGAAGAAGAATTATTTTGGAAACCAAGGGTCATTATTATTACCTGTAGCGCTTATGAGTAGAAGTATTGTTACAGCACTGAAGAGTAGGTGTAAAAATTAAGTACGAGTTTGCCTATTTAAAAACTATACTTGTCTAAAGTAATACAATTATTATTTTCATTAAATCATTTCGATAAGAAACAATTTGTAAGAACAAAAAAATTTTCAAAGTTTTAATTTTGAATTCATATATGAAAAAACATCCGGTGGGAAATCGTTTACCTGCTATATGAATTAATATTATTTTAATACAATTTTTAAATGAATTTGCTACGTTATCCGTTCGGTCGTATATAGTAGATACGTCTTCGAACTATATCCCGGTCTTAGATTTATTCGTTTCGTTTTCAGTTTAGACAACAAGTTACCACCTAATCGAGTGTCAGTGGTCGTAAATACAAAAACCGGTAAATAGTGTGATAATATTTGAATACGATAATGTTGATACGAAGATGCATTATGTTACGATCCCATACCGTTGCTTCCGAGCGTAACATTTTACGATAATACTTACAGTGTTATATATTTCGAGCGGTAGAAATATTATGCGCGGGTAAATTATCATATATTAATTATATTAGTTCACGGCCGACGTCGTGGCCCAGCGGTCGAGCGGTGTAACGCGACGGGTCGTGCGGTGAGGGTTGGGTTGATGAGAAATAATAATAATAAAAATAAACGGTTAGGATTTTCGTACGGCGGCAACGGTGGTAGTATGGGCGGGGCGCGTCGCACGAAACTGTGAGAAACTGTCGGTATCGCGCGCGTGTATTTCGGGAAATATCGTAATACGAATTAATTAGTTATACGATGCAATATAATAATATTATAATAGTCTCACGCGCGACGGCAGCGGTGTTGACCATCACCGCGTGTCGCGTACGCCGTACATCGCTCTTAGCGCATTTCGTATTCATATCGGAAAGCCACCGTAGCAATTGTGCGCGTATGCGTGCGTGCGTGTGTAAGTTTGTGTGAGAAAACTATACGGGGCGCGCGCGGACTACACGACGAAATTCCGCCGCAGCCGCCGCGTCGGTTGCGTATATTAAAATTCGGCCGGCGTGCTCCCCGCGCCGACGTTGTCCACCGCGACGACGAGGACGACAACAGCAACAGTCGGCCGCCGCGTTAGCTCTCGAAAACTCGCCGGTCGCCGTTTCCCACGCCCCCACCAGCCCGGTTCGGCACGGACGAGCGAGGGCGGTGGGCCGCCGGATTGCGGCCTGGCTCGAGTCCAACGACGACGGCGAAACCGTACCGCCGCCGCAGCCGACGACGATGACGGCGTCGTGTCCGTGCGATATACCCACACGCACACGTACGTAGGGTACACCGACGACGTAGGTTTTCATGATTCGAATACGCGATGACCGCGACGACAAAGATGACGACGAAATCTTGCGCGCGGCGTACGCGCACGAGACGCACGGGCGTCCGCGCGCGAAGGGGGCCGCAACTTTCCGCGACGCGGTATACAGAGTGTTCCTCGTACTGTACACAGTTCGCTATGTATCGCGGTACATCTCGAACGAGATGACCGATACGAATCTTTAGATTTCCTAACACGTTTCGTTAACGGACGATCACTGTACCTATTTGCCGATTGTTTTTTTTTTTTTTTTTGTTTAATTTTACCGATTTTGATTTATTTTTCATATATATGGAGGTGTAACGATGATAAGCAAATATTCGTGGAGAACACTCTGTACAGAGAACGGATTTGAATGCAGAACGCATTTTTTTTCTTGCTCTGTTCAGGGCAATGCTCTGCAATTATTACTAAATGTGATTCCTAAGTCGAGGAATTTAAAAATGAGTTTTATTTTTTGTTTTTCAAATGATTTAATAATTATTTTTGCATACGCGCTTAAGTCGTAAAATTAAACACAACATAAACATTTTGTTTAGGAATTTCCTTTTGTTTTAACAATATAACACACGATAGATATGCTCATCATTTTACAAATAATAATAATTTACTTCGCATCAAAATTTGAAAATGCACGCTAACATTTTTAAGACACTATTGAATTTATCAGTGATTTTTATAGAACTAAAAATACATATATTTAAATTTGCATGAATAATTAAAATTATTTTTTATTCTACGAGTAGTTGGCAATGCATACCTAATGATAATGAATCAATATTGTTGATTATGTGAGCGAAAGCATACGTTAAAATTCTAATTATAATATTATATTCTTTCGATATCGGTTCTATATTAAACGTCGAGTTTTGATATTGTGAACCACAATTTTATTAAAACGATCGCCTCCAGCTTCGTCGTACCAGTAGATTATCTAAAGTATATTATATTCGTTTATTCCCAAGAATTTCATTAATGCATTGACTAAGACAATACTAACAACATAATATTATTACGTTAGGAATTTGCATCAGCGTCGAACACACTCGTTATTTCGGGTTTGGTCAATAATTAATTATTTATAATTTAAGGTGATGCTGTACCGGTTAATGAACTATAGTTGCATAACGACTTAAAACTATAGTGAGTAATATCAGAATGACCGACCAACTTGATCACCAAAATAACCACTAATAATATAAAACGTGCTAACATAACAGGTTGGAGAATTTTTCAAATTCGTAAATGGCAATAAATTATTTGTTTTTATCCGCGTAATTAAACAATAAATATTATTGAATGTAGCGTTAACGATGCCACATAAATGCTGTGCTGACAGTGGTCAACAATTAGTGTTTTTAACGAGTGCAGAATGTACCTGTCAAAATTTTCGTTTTCGTTTTAAATACAATATAAAATTTGTCCCTCTTGTTATTCAAAAAATCTTAGATTGGTCATCTAATAAAAACTGCTGGTGGTCCATTAATTTCCTTTATCAACGCCACCGTGTTATCATTTTGTGGTGGCGTTGACAGTTACGCTGTTTGTACTCATTATTGTCGTCGTATAATAAACATATCTAACCATGCGTAGGTTTTGAACCATATAACATTATAATTATGTATCATAACGAGAGTAACTATACGTCGTATAAATATGTATAAATACTTACTCGCAACCGCCAGGATAATCGCACTTTCCGTGTACGGGATGGCATCCGGTTTTGCACACGGCTGCGAACATACAAAAAGCAATGATCATTATTATAATTACAACCGCTATTATTACAATTATTATTACGATTTGTGATATCCGAAAAATGCGAATATTTCTCAACTCACCTTTGTCGCACGTCTCGCCCTGCCAGCCGGGTATGCATTCTTTCCGGCCGTCCGTATCGCCGCACGTGTAATGACCGAACCGGTCGTCTCGTGGCTTACAAAGCTTGGTGCATGTCTGACCGTAGTAGTTACGGTCACAACGTACACGTACCCGGTATGCCATGCGCGCCGTGCGGCCCAGGTGAGACAGAGCTTTCCACTCGTTGCCCGGCAACAGGATACCGGAATATGTGGCTTCTTCGATAACGGATAGCGCGCCTAGAAAAATCCAAAACAACAATTTAAGAATCGTTTCCGATGTACAATATATAATGTTGGTACCCTAAAACCCTACAAAGTGCCTTATACATTCTTTAGAAAAACACCGTAAAATAATTTATATTTATTTAATTAACTGTACTCAATATAACTTACGATTTGCGTTGATTTGATAAAATAAATTCAAAATATTTTATTAAATAAAAACGTAACGATAATATCTTATAGCTTATATAATTAATTATGTATACTGCTGAAACAAATATTTAACTGGAAAAGTATCGTCCATGACATCAAAACCATCAAAAGCCGGGAATCTTTTATAGTTGCAGATTTCGTAGGACATTTTCTATATTAGGTATCAAAGAGTTAGTGGTTAGAATTATTTATTTATTATATTTATTATTAATATAATGGCAGTATAAACTGTTTCGTTTTTATTATTTACTGGAATAATCAGAATTTTATTTTCGTTATGCTTAGTTTCGTGTTCGTGTATAAATGTCGGAGTTGTTATACGATCACAAGACGCTATGGTCAATTAAATTTAAATAGTTTTATGCGAGTTATCATCATCATTCCGAAACGGTCTGTAGGAATGTAGGATATACGAAATAAGTTATAGCACCTCTATAAATGAAAAAACTGCGCCAATAGCCATGGGATATGAACGTACTATGTAAATATTTAATTGTTTTCTTTATTTTTTTATAAGCATTGTCTAATGGTATACGACTACAATTGTTCGTGGTAAGCCACGACGGCGTCGTTATTTTGCGCGCGTGCAATACGATTTAGGCATCTTTGTTTACGCGACAGACGTTAGCCGTACAACGCCATTGCAACGGAAGAAGAATAAAAAAAATAAAACACGAAACTTATTCTCTCGACACGAGCGTTTAACTGGCGCATAACAATATTATGAATTGTGTTTCAGTAATATATTATAGTGATTTTTTTTATCAACGTAATTTTTATATTAAAGGGGAAAAATGATTTAAATTTACTCATTTTAGGGGATTACAGTTACAGCAAAAGTCATTGACTAGGCAGCGTATTAAAACGTTATTAATTATAGTTATTAATATTGCACCGGTTGAACATAACCGGGATGCCTATCGAAAATTGGATTAAATGTTTTAGTAGATCCAATCAATTCCATAAAATCGCCCAAATCCAGCATTATCGATTGATATATTAGTATGAACTTTTAATATGATCATATTATTTTTGTAGAAATTGAACGGAATAATGGCTTTTAACCCTACACATTCGTCGTCGTCGTCGTGTTGGTCGAAAAGTCGGTACCGCGCTGATTCGATTCGGTACCCGCAGTCACTGTACAACGGCAACCGTACACACAACTCGAATCAGTAGTATAACAACGCGCGTGGAATTGATTGAGATGATTTTTTTTTCTTCTCTATTCTCTGTCCGTTTCTTAGGCGTTTCGCCTTGGCTACCCTTTTTTTTTTCCTTCGTTCCGTTGTTCTCGCGTTTATCTCGTTGTCGTACAACAATAGGCATCATCGTTACAATCACACACGCACGCACGCACGCACGCACAAAAAACCCGGGCGTGGACGAACGGACGAAATACACGTATCCGTATAATATAAATTTATGTGTGTGTGTGTGTGTGTGTGTGTGTGTGTGAAAACAAAAAGAGTATACGACGACAAATCTTCGATAATAATAATAACACATAACAACAACAATAGTAATAAAACCGTCCCGCCGCCGCATTCCAACACGGAATTGGAAATTGGAATCGGATCGAAGGATGTGTACAACGTTTTGTATACATGTACCTACGGAGTAGAGCACCACCAGGCACTACGACAATTGCTGCAACGCATTCGGCCCGGGCGGAATGGGACGTGACGCCGCCGCCGTGGCAGGCGTGAGGCGTAACTACCGTGACGAAACGACGACGACGGCGACTGTACCGATGGGGTACCGTACGTACACCGCGGCCGCTTTTAATAAATATACGTAGTCGTCATCGCGTCGTTATACAACAATAATGATGATAATAATAATCAGAGTATGATGCGATGACTTCTCGATCGCCTCTTCGGTAATACATGTGTACGTATATACGTTATTGACGAGAACCGACGACGATTATATACCATTATTGTGCGTCTATGTGTGTATGTGTGTGTGTGCGTGCGTGCGTGGGTGTATATATCGGGCCGAGTCACGTCGTGGTCGCATACAACGACATCGACAACGACATTAATAATAAAATACTATGTGACATTATCGTTTTGATGTGTGCGCGCGCGTTACATTACATACATAATGTATAAGACGACCGCTATGGAGATGACATTAGTCGTTTCGAGTTTGTGCTATGCTTACCCGTGTAATTATTGTAGTCCATTGCTTGCAGTATGAATGTAAACGATCTCTGCAACATAAAAAAAAAAAAAAACCATTAGCGAAACGATCAACGGAAGACAGTAGCAAAAGGTGTCGTCCCGTAGGCGTGCTGCAGCGGTAGTCGGGCGAATACACGCATAAATAATTTTATAAAAATTCGTACGTCCTATGCGCGCGCACGCGTGTTATGATTTCCACGCTCGCATATTCGGAACATCGTAATTAATGACGTTCATTCGATCGGAACGGATCTTTTTTACGGCACGTACATACGAGTATCGACGACCGGGACGACGGTAATAATAATTTAATAATGGAAGACTCAGACGATGGTGGTGGCCGCGGCACGCGGGACGAGAACCGCGAACCGACGTCGAGCGCGATAAATAACTTGGGTTATTTATTGTCGACGGCGATGTCGCTGTTACGGTTAACACGCGCACGCGCACGAATAAAATGTGCGCTGTACGATATTGCATTTTTACATTCTTTCTACGTCGGCGTACACCGGCGTACGTGTACCCGATGTCTTCCCTTCGCCGCCCCTCCGCTCCCGCCACCGCCCACGGACGATCGCACGGATACCGTGTACAACATTTGTCGTTGAGACGATACCGTGTCGCTGGCGCGAGCGCGCGCGCGCTCGCTCTCGGTCACAAGACCACGCAGCCGCCCCGCGATAAATCATCGTCGTGGACACGGCGACGAGAGGAGAAACCGCAACCAGAGTACCATAGGTATACGGTACGACATCGTTGCGCGGCACACATAATAATATTATATACGCGTACGTACGCGCATAATATAATAACAACAACAACAACAACAACAATGTACAGGTATAATGCGTACGGCGATCGGGAGACTCCTACGCGAACCCTCGCCGGATGGCCGTCACGGCAGACACGATTTCCACGGGTACGCCGGCAACGGCGACCGATATACCACAACCCGACCGATCGTGGTACATGTACGCGTAGACCGAATACGTACAGGTACACACAGCAAAAAACACGTACCGTCCGCTCTGCGCCGCGCCGCACGCGAGCACGAGAAGAACAATGAGGAAGTGACGGATATAAAAATATTGACGTTTTTCCTGGCTTCGACGGTAAATATATCGGTGGAAGGTTATTGCGGCATCTCGCGCGACGGTCGAGACTTTCTATTTTGTCCGCCTTCCAGGACCAACAGCGATATAAATACGTATATAATAACGGTCGAAACCTTTGTAAGTCTACGGTCGCGTACGGCAAGTGTAGTGGACGACTGCGAAGTCTTGCCGTTTCGCGCCCGAGTCCGCAACCCAGGATCTAGATTTGCCGCCGGACGGTTGGATGCACGCGTTCATAATCAGAACGGGGTGAAGGATTAAGTGAGATAGAAGGAGAGACAGAGAGAGAGAGAGAGAGAGAGGTACGGAAAAATAAGGTGGAAAATATAAAACGTCGTGTCATCGCAATCACCTTGCATCGCAACTAAATAAGTTACAACCCGTCGGCGGCCGTTTTTCCGCCACGTCACCGCGGCGTGTAGGACGCGTGCGTACCCGACCGGTCACCACCAACCATCATCATAATAAAGCCATGGCGGTGGCGGTGTTTTTCCGCTACGTCACGCCGTCGGTCCATACGTTTGGCGGCGGCACTAACGACTCCATACGACTAATTGCCCGGTCGCGGACGACTGTATTATGCGCGCGCGACGCTGCTCGGTCGGCGGTTGTCCCGGCAAGGAGCGCCCACCGCGATGCACATCGTCGTGTATTGGTAGCGGTAGTGGTAGCGGCCGGGACCTAATTCGTTATCCCGTCGTCCGGGTCGGCGGTGGTCTTAACGACGTGATGTGATAAACGACGAGAGCGAGTAATCAACGTGGCGGCCGCGTGGTTCAGCGACAAGGAAATTAAGAGATCTCGCTAACGAGGTGTTAAAGACGATCCGGCTACAGCCGTGGCGGTTATCGGCGGTACACTGCGTACACACGCGCTCCATTTAACTTTGATTTGCTTTGCTGCAGTATCACCGAAACAAGTACCGGCCGCATCAAGTTCAGCGGACAAAATATACCATGTTTTCAATAAACGGCATGTGAATTTTTCTTATATTTTTCGTTTCAGCCAAAAAATGTTGTTATACTATCGTTTGACCAATGACGCTGTCAAAAACCGTAAGAAAACATTCTTATTGACCCAAGATCTTTTTGATCTCAATAAAATATTTTTTGCTATGAATAATAAATAAAATAATTTTGCCTCGAATTATTATTATTCTACTATATTGTTATTTTATAACAACATTTCAATTTGCCAAGAATTCATTCTAGATCCATCACCAGTTTCAATAATACACTAATTATAATACGCGTTGTCCGGTTTTAGTATTTATTTTCATGCTTATTATTAATGGCCAATGTTATAAAAATAATGGCCATAAAACCTAGCCATTTGATTATTGCAGTAAATTTCGCTCTCGTTTTCATACACAATTACTAATGTAAAATAGCAATTTGTTATTTCCAACCGAATAACCTAACCAATAATGCAGGTGGTTTAAATGTATTCATAAAACAGATCTTACGGCCCAATTGTTCGCTCAACATTTTTATTGCGTTAAATGTTATATTTACATGGGACTTCAACAATATCGGCGATGTATTATGTTTCGGATCGGTAAGAATTGAGTGCTTTTTACACTTTTCACTCAAAGGCCATCTCGATTGACGTCTACACACATCGTCGTTGCAATAAGTGCCACCACTCGCGGAAACCAACATTATCTGCATCAATACATCATGTTCGTGGTATTGATTGCGATCTGGTGTGTTCGTTAATTCGTCGTCACCGCAATATCCGTATAATAAATAGTACAATTTTATTCGCTACGTCGTCCGCACTAGACGTCGTTATTGATATAGCCATTAGCTGCGCGCAACACAATCGTAGTTATCGTCATCATCAGCTACTTTAGCGGTGTACTTGTACTTTCATCGTTATACGACTGCGGTGAGTTATAAAAGTCGTATTGCGCTCGGAATATATATTTACACTGCAGCTGCTACTGCCGCTGCCAAGTGTCGACGTACAAATATAATAATAGTTACGTTCGCTGACAGTCTTTAAATCACCGAGCATTGTCGTTAAGCGATATCCATAAGTGACGACCTGCGGTTAGGTGTATACATTATGGTGTACGTACGCGCGCAGTAGATATACCAGTGGTAAATAACTCGTCGATAAAATACACCTATATACTACATATCGTGTACTATACATAGGAATAAATACGTATTCTATAAAGGATGTTTTGATATGATGTCGAAGAAGCGCTAATAAATATGTCAAACCCGAACGAAAAAAAAAAAAAATAAAAAAATACCTAAGTAGTCGATGACAGACTTTCGTATCGATCAAGGCGATGTAATAATAATAATATTAATAACACACGACTGGACGTCATTGACGATGAAGCAAATGGTTACATTGTACGTATGAAGCTGCAGCGTAGGTACACCGCGGTGATAGCGCGCGCGCTGTGTAATGCAGTGGAACGGTAATTACGGCGACTGAATATAATAATCATAATAGTAATAACAATAATAATAGTAAAAGTTATAATAATAATAATAATAGTTATAGTAATAATAATAACTACCGCTCATATACAACAACGGGAAGACGACGACAAAGACCGACGACGCGAGTGCGTAGGAGGGGACCACGCGGCGCGGTACCGCCGGCGGTTATCCGCTCGGTCAGCAGCAATCACGTTGCTGCCGCTGGTCCCGGTTTTGATTGATTTATTGCGCGCGCGCGCCCGCGATCGCTCGCGTAGCCGTTACCGGGAAAATACGACGTCCGCGTACAATACGTACGCGCAACGGCCGCGGCGACGATGTGCAAGTCGTCGCCGTGCAGCCACCGAGCGAGCGCGAGCGCGTGCACGTCGTGTGTATACCGGGAAAAAAAATAAATTGGCCCGGTGGCCGGTTCGGTGTGGTGGTGGCGCCACCAACACGACGACGACCGACAGACATTCGCCGTCGTCGTCGTCGTCATCGTACGACCGATGAATAAAAGAAACTAGGTCTCCTCCCCATCCCACTCCCGATCCCGGCGTATCGCACGCGCACACGGTAGCGAAGGTAAAATCAGCGGAAAAAAAAACCCACCGTTGCCGTCTACAATCCGTTGACGACGATTCAATCGACCGCCGCGGGGTCAAACGTTGTCGTCGTATCCGTTTAATATACCTACACGGCGGTGCAGTTTATGTATTATTATCGTTCTGTATATATATATATATATATATATTATTGCGAGCACACCGTATAAATGGTAGTTCAGGTCTCATATCGCGCGAGTCGTCGTATAATAGCGCAGTATAATAATATAATGTATTATGTGGGTACATTAAAGTTGCGTACGCAGGCAGCGTACGTGCCGTGCTGTACGACGACTCGATGGCGCCGCCGTATGTACGACGATGACGCCGCAACGGCGAGCCGTTGCACCGGTAGCGCCTGTCACGCGTTTATTGACGGGAGCAAATGCACAGCGTCGACGACCATCCGGGGGAGGAGTGGGCAGGACTGGAGATGTGAGGCGATCTGTACAAGCTGCTGTGCATGACCGTACACCGATTTATGTGTAACGTACGTACGTGTGATACTATAGCGATTGCAGCCGTAGATTAGTTAAACGGAGTGCTGTGCGGAAGACACGGAAGGATTTCGAGTGGTGCGATGAACCCAGCAAAGCACGTCCCTTGGTCACCGAGGTACGTGTTGAAAACGAAAATGAATATACGTTTAAACCGTGTAAAATTCTCGACGGGACTAGATAATAATATTGGTTTGAGGAAGGTTTTTCAGCCTCATCCGAGCTTATTCAGACAATACGGACCGCCGTGTACACATACAACACGAATATGTCCGCGACGGCACCACGCACATCGAGCTGTCTCTGCAAGGGGCCCGCAGCCGCCTCCGCCGAAACGGTTACCAATAAAAAAGTGCACTTTTTTTCTT